CCTTCGGGGTCTTTGTCCTAAGCAGGGAACTACGTGTAACTGATGTTTATATTTTAGCAGTAGGAAGAGAGGGCCAACTTTAAAGGGGAACTTACATGTTCCCCGTTGCTTAATTCCCTCTACCGCAAGTTAATTTCCGCTAATAACTTGTACAGAAAATAAGCAATTTCAGTCATGCAAATTAAGAGATCAATTAATAATTAAGTGTTCTTGTTATAGGCAGTCAAAATGACAGTAAATAAAAGAGAATTCTAGTTGCACTGTTGTTTTCAAACAATTCCTTCCCATGTTGTTAATATTGCCAATCCACCTTCTTATTGACCAAAGAACTTAACGTTAGCAAAGAAATAACTTGTGAATGACAAGATCACTGCTTCATTGCAAACAAATATGTCTTCCAAGCATTAATTATATCAAACGTTACAGACCGAACTTTGAAAAGCTAAATAACCGGCACTATAGGAATGATTTATAGCGAACTAACTAAACTCCGGTACAGGGATAAGCGGTAACCAAACTTCCCTCCACCCAAGTTGTGCAGACTTAAAAGTTATATCTTGCGGTTTTGCAGCCACAAAGAGAAAGTTGTTCTGATTCGAGTGGAGGCTGATGTAACAGTATGTCTGTAGACAATTTCAAGTAATAAATTAAAAATCCATCTCCCAAATGACTTATGTAAATCGCGTGTTCATCTTCTTAATTAATTATTTCATGCAATGCTCAACTTAACTGTTAGAATACGTCGAAGGAGTTTGCATGACTATCGGTAAACTCTCAGTAAAGTAACCAGAGTCCGATTTGATGATTCCCACTGGGCAAGAGCCATTATTGATCTTGCACTAGAAGAATGACATCACGCTTTTGGAAATTAAAAACAATATATGCCAGAGAAAAAAGAAGAGAAAAGAAATCAAGAATGGCCCTGTTTTAGTCTTCACTATTAGCTTGCCAAGAAACAAGGACTGAACTGTCATTCAAGGCCTTAACAACTGGGATCCTCTTTCTTCCCTTTAAGTGATGAGATTTTTATTTCTGGAACACAAGTGCAGGGTTACAAGCTTGTTATGGAACATGCTTCTGAGTGATATATCAAACAATCATGTTAATTTCACATAATTGCGGATATTTTCTTCAAGCTTGGACGGGCCTATGCAGCCTTGCATTGCGGCCCTATGAGTAGTAAGAGGATGTTCCAACAGTATTTGCGAAAAATGAATTTTTAGCAAAATGCAAATGCTGGTCAACATGGCGACCATTTGAAATGACTTTGCCTGCACGTTTTAGCAGTGGCATGTCCCAGAATCAATCGGTAAAATGTTTATGCCAAGTTATAGAGATCGTCACCGTTTGTCCAATGAACTTTTGTAGATTATAACGACATAACAAAAACTCAAGGGGTTCCCATGGCCGCTCTCACCCCCTTCTCCCTTGCAAAAATTTATTTCATCAGCAAGTGAATCTGGTGTAAAGAGGGCTTAAAAAACATATATAATTATAAAATTTACTTTCTAACTACACGATGCGACAAATATTAATAAACTAGTTAT